TCTCATCTTCAAACATGGCCTTTTCTGAACAAACTGCAAGTTTTCCAAACTCTCTGCTCTGCCATACCTCCTGTTTCTCACTGTAAACTTGAATAAAAACAGCCAGCAATATCCACATCAGAGCCTGAACACTATGCTGTCTTAAAATTTCCTCCAGCAGATCATTCTGTCACCTTGAATCCAGCCTCACAGAAGTCTCAGGACAGACAGACAAGGTCTCTGTCAAAATGGAACACAATGTCCTCACTCCAGTTCCCAGCAGAGTCCTCACCCCCTGGGAAACCTCATCAGCAGACTTATGCCCACCTCCCTACCAGCACTCTGGTGTTCTGAGACACCACCAGAGCCATCTGTTAAGCTCTGCTTATAAAATTCTAAGATTTTTCTAAGATGCTTTTTCAGACTTTTCTACATTCTTCCTGAAAATGAGTTCCAAAGGCTTCTGAACCACATGGTTAGGTAGAATAACAGCAACGACCCCACCTCTCAGTACCAGTTTCCCATATTAGTCAGGATTCCATTGTTCTGACAAAATACCAGAAAACAACAACCGAAAATAAAGATTTATTTTGTCATCAATTTCAGAGGTTTCAGTCCATAGTCACTTGGTTCCATCAACTGGGCCCCTGGCAAGGAAAACCCGTGGTGGGGAGCATGTGGTAGGATACAGCTGCTCCCCTCATTATAGCTAAGAAGCAGAGAGAGGGAGGATGGCACATCAAGTGAACACCCCCAAAGACCCATTTCCTTTCACTAGGTCACCTCTAAAGTTCCCACCAACAACCAATGGCTCTTTAAGCTACAAACGCCATAAAGTATTCTACTTGTGAGATCGGAGCTCTCATGGTACAGCCCCTCCCAGAAGCCCCACTTCTGGACAATGCTGCATCGGGTCTTCAACAGGTGACCTTCTGATTCAAACACAACAGGAAGCATGCAAGCACAGCTAGGCACTGAAACACAGGTAGGCTCTAGGGTCACCTTGTTCTAAACTTTGAGTTCTTGCCCTCTAAGTCAATGCGGAGCTGCTCTTGGGCTCGAAGTCTATGGTCATTCAACAGCATTCAAGGTATGGGTGCAAGAGACATAGGTCTTTATTGAGCACCTGCTGAGTGCGTGTCCTCACGCTAAGCACCAGAGGGACACAAACCAATGAATACAAAGAATCTCTGCCCCATGACAAAATGGGAGCAAAGGTGTCAGCCTCAGAGCCAAGGGACCACCTGGGCAGCTATGGGACAGTGGGTGACACAGAGTAACATTCAGTCAACATCCATTCCTTTTCCTTCCCTTTCCTCTTCCCCACAGACTCTGAGATCCCCTTCCTCCAATGCTGAGTCAGGGTGTAAGGAAGCCCTTGTTGGCTTGAGCAGGAAATGGTGGTCCTGGTGGCAGAGAGCTCCCTGTTGGCTCTCCTGCACGCCTCCTCCTCTCCCCTCAGGTTCCGATTGGTTCTGGGGCATTCGTGACTTCCAAAGCTGTCTTCTACTTTTGGTCTTCTCCATTCTCAGTGATGCATCCCCAGCAATTTCCTCAGGGAAATCTTCCAGTTCACTGATGCTACCTTCAGCTTCACCCCGTATGCTGTGTGGCCAACACATTGTGGGTTCCCTGTGCTCTTGGGTGTGATGTCTGTGTGTTCAACCCCATCTTGGAAGACCATTTGTCCTTTCCTTACACAGGAGTCAGACTAAAGTCAAATTCAAGATGAGCAAAACACCCATCTGACTAGGTGCTCCAGAAAATCCCCTGGTGACTGTTGAAAGGTGGGCCACAGATATTTGGGGAAGCAGAGACTGCATTGATGCATTCAGTGGGGACTAGATGCCTAAATAAATTCAATCAGCCTGTCTGAATGTCTGTGTCTGTTGCAACCATACCTTAAACAGGTACCTAGAAGGTGGGTAACTCAACATGTGTGTGAGTCTGATCCAGGCACACTGCACGGGCAGTGAGGACTGGAAACTAGGATGTTAGAAAAGGATCTCAGCAGAAAGTCTCCACCTCCCTGAGCCTGTTTCCTCATCTGCAAAGTGGAAATGAGGACCCCTAGCTCCCCAGTACCTCGATCTGAACTGTGAGCTTTCCCCCGTCCTGCTCCAGCCCTGAAGTAACACACTTGAGCCTGAGCAACTTAGCGAGACCCTGACTCAAGACAAAACAACAAGGGCCTGGGATGCAGCTCAATGGCAGAGCACTCAGCGGGCACCCTCAGGGACCAGGTTCCCCCCCCCCTAGGACCACAGAAAAGGAAAAGGAAAGGGCTGAGGGCATGCAGGTGACCTTCCACACACTGAACCTCCTGGGCCTGGCATCTCCAGATGGGCAAGTCGATGCCCGTCCATCAACTGCCCACCCCAGGAACTCACCGCAGCCCTGTGGGGGCTGGGGCCTCTGAGAAGGCCTCCGGGTCTCCCTCTGTGGGACGAACGTCCACGCTGGCCACAGGACTCTTGCCTGGCAGGCTTTGTCCTTGGCTTGGAATATGCCAGTGCACTGCCTTCTGGGATCGGGGTTTTCTGACAAGAAATCTGGGGAGACTCGGGAGGAAGTGACGACAGCTCCCCCCTGTCAGCCCACGGGTGTTCACAATGTGCTTGTGTCACTCGGCCCTCTGTGAGCAAAGTACAGACAAGAAGGACCCAGAGGAGGGAGAGTTGTTCTGGCCACGGCTGCAGAGGCTCAGTCTGTGGTCAGGCGACTCACTGCTCTGGGCCAAGGGGAAGCAGAACAGGCAGAGGGAGGGCACGGTGGAGAGCACTGCCATGAGAGGGCGCCCAGAAGAGAGGAGAAAGGGAAGTCCCCCAACTGCTGCGGGGCATGCTGTCACACCGTGGGTTCCACCTGCACCACCACTCTCCTCCTGCGCCCTGCTCTCCGCAGCAGCTCTGCAGGAGGCCAGTGTTCCCCAGAGGGAGAGGCCTTACAGTACACTCACACCCACACCCAGCAGCAGAAAGAGCAAAGCTGGAAGACACTGCCCAGAGAAGGCAGGACACTGGGGGCAGCGTACATTGCCTGCACCCCTCATCCTAGGCACCTGCACAGCTCCCTGTGCGTGCACTCTTGGCATGCCACAGGCACGGCTGCTCCCCGTCGCTGTCGCGGGAGGCACGTGAGAGTGCAGGTGATGACCTCCTAGCGCCCTCCTTCTCTGGAAGCTCTCAGGACTCTCCCTGTTCTACCTCGACACCCCCAGGTGCTGGCCTGTGCACTCAGGAGGTGCTGAGTGACATGCCGTTGTCAGCAGGAGCCAGCACGCTGCAAACACCCTCTCTGCGCTGTCTGCCTTGCCAGCGCTGCACTATCCAGCACACCAGCTCCTGCCCACTCTACCATGCCACCTGGAGTACCTCGTCCCTCAGTGTTCCCTGAGGCAAAGGGAGGCTGCACCTTTCTCAAGGCCTGGCCTCCTCCTCTGTGCTGCTGAGGCTGCTAGTGCAGCTGACCAGAGGCTCATGTGGGGCTTAACCAGGGCCTCCAGAGCCAGGCTTTGAGAAGGGGCCAGTACCTGACTTCTGGGCCCTGGGGTCAGTGGGAGTTTCCCCCAACCCAAGGATGCAGGCACCCTGAGCCCCTGCTGCCGATCCTTCTGAGAACATGTCGGGGGTCCTGCCCCACCAGGAGCTTCCTTCCCCTGCAAAGGCAAGGCCTCCTCACTGTCCTGGAGCAAGACTGAGTGGTTCTTCACTGCTGGGATTTCCTGAGATGCTGAGCTCTGAGGAGGAGGCCCTGCCCAGCCAGGGGTCTTCATTCTGGCTGAGCTCTGAGCCCTGTCCCCGGAGAAGCCTTGTCCCTTCTAGAGACTGGGCATGCCCCTCAGAGCAAGGTGGCCAGTGGATGCTGGCCTTGTTCTAAAACAAGATACAATCCTGGTTGACCTCATTTTCCTTTCCCAAACCAAATCTAACAGAGGCCTGCTACGTAGGGGGAAACTGAGACAGCAGACACTCTCTCCTATCTGTGCAGCAGCCTGATCCAAAGCATCCCTCAACATAGGTTTCCTTGATTGGCCTTTCTCCTGCTGGCCAGTGTGGTTCATGTTTCCAAATTCACAGAGGGCACATCCGCAGAGACCACAGGGCTCAGGCCCTCACTGAGTCCACAGACAAGCAGTGAGTAGCGGGAAGAGAGCAATGCCCACCACAGATCAGCTCTGCAGCTGACACAGGTTCTGGAGACAGGGTGGCAGAGAAGTGCAGGGCTATTTGGGGACCACAACTACTGGATGAGATGCTAATTCATAACATGAGGGCCTGTGTGTGAGGTCCACTTCTAGTGCAGATACAGGACCAGAGATGGGATCTGGCCACTGAGAAGTAAAATATATATGGAAGTATAAAAGGGTGATGATAAGGTAAGCTCAGGTCAACCTGGGGTAGCCACTGGGTAGAGTTCAGGAATCCAGGGACTCGGGTCACCACACAGCACAGCTCAGAATCACCAAGAGAACAAGGGTGACCCCAGAGCAGAGCTGAAGATCCTCAAAGAAGCAAGAATGAAAGCAGGGCATAGCTCAGGACCAAAGGGCACAAGGGAGACATCTCAGGGCACAGCTCAGGACCCCCAAGTGTGCAAGGATGACTCCAAGCACAATCCATGAACCCCAAGTATACAAATGTGATCTCCCGGCACAGTTCAGGACACCAAAGGGCACAGGGTTGATCCCAGGGCCTAGCTCAGGTACCCAAGCACGCTAGAGTGACCTTAGGGCACAGCTCAGGACGCCAGTGTTGCAAGGGTGACCCCAGGGCACAGCTCAGGACCCCCAATCCTGCCAGGGTGACCTCAGGGTAGAGCTCAGGACCCATCAGGCGTAAGGTAACCACACTTTCACGTTATGTTCCACCGTCCACACAGCGAGCGTCAGGTTCCAGGGCGATGCCCGTCTTGGGAGGGACACTACGGCGGGCGCACCAAGGGCGTCCCGAGGCCTAAGGCGGCGCCGCACCCCGACGGTGAGGGGAACAGGCACAGCGGCGAGCCCTTGGCGTCCTCACCTGCGGTCCCGCGGACCCCGGAGCCCTGCGGCGACGCCCAACACGCCCGAACCTAGGCGCCTGGCCCGCGCCAGGCCCGCGCCCGCCGCGTCGCCGTGGTTACAGGAGGACGGCCCAGCGCCACGCCCCCGACGCTATCGCGGGAGCCGGGACCAGCCAACTTCCGGCCGCCTCATTTCCGGGCGCCGCCTCCCTTCCGCCTGCTGGTGCGGAGCCCTGCCGGCCCGACGCTGCAGGCGAAGCGCGGAGGTGAGTCCCGCGCGTGGATCTGCCCCTCCCGGCGCC